GTTTCCTTACTCCACACAGAGCCTAATAATAATCCCTCCAAAAACAAAAAAACAATAATAAATTGGTCATTTTCAATCTACGACTGTTTGTGGACATTGCTGTGCGCAATTGGCTGCCGCGTTTGCCCACAAATATACAGTCAATTCACTTTGCAGTATGTTCTGTGAAGCGCTTTGGGACGTCCTCCCGACGTGAAAAGCGCTATATCAAATGCAAGGATTATTATTATTATTATTCTGTTCTGCCACCTTCAGTTTTCTTAACATTGCTGGCTTGCGATTATTCCTAATTGTATTCCCGACCCCCGACTTTACTAGTTTAAAGCTTTGCTTACCTCCCTATGTATTCAGTTTGCTAGGACATTTGTCCCAGCCCGATTTAAGTGGAGCCCATCTTTTCCCCCAATACTGGTGCCAGTGGCCCATAAAATGAAACCCCTGTGTTCTGCACCACTCCCTCAGCCATGCATTTAACTCTCTAATTTGCTTATTCCGGTACCAATTTGCACATGTCAAAGGCAGCAATCCTGATATCACTACCTTTGATGTTCTTTGTTTTAATTTAGTTCCCAGCTCCTTGAACTCCCTCCTCAAATCATCACAACTAACCCTACCTATGTCATTGGTACCTATGTGAAGTACCACCAATGGATCTTCGCCCTCATGTTTTAGATTTTCCTCCAGCCCTGCCGAGACGTCCCTAGGAAGGCAACAGAGCCTTCGGGTCTCCTGGTTTTGCAGCTGCAGATAAGTGTATCTGTCTGCCTGATAGTTTCGTCCCCAATTACTACAGCTTTCTGTTTGTTTCCCCTAATATTGGAATCACGTTTTCCTTCCTCCTCACAGGCTTCCTTGCCAACACAGGTTGCAAGGATCTTGTACCTGTTGGCCAAGGTTAAAGCCTGAGGCTTCACTACCACTCTCTCTGGTGTTCCCTTAACCTCCTGCCTGTCAGACACCCTATCCTGTCCTTGACTGATACCATTAGCTATACATTCCCTGAGCCTCAGGGGAGTGACTGGCTCCAGGATGAAAGTATCCAGGAAGCACTCACTGTGCCTGATGCTGCGCAATGTCTGCACCGCGGATTCCAGCTCAGACACTCTGAGCTGGAGCTGCCTCAGTTGCTGCAGGTGTGGTCGCCCGGACTCAGACTGCCTTCCAGCAACTCCCACATGTTACAGTCTTCACACAACACCTGCCACACGCCATTATCGCCTCTCCCACCCCCACTGTGAATTAAAGTTTTATTTAATTAATTATTATTATTTTTTAAAAGTTAAATTCTTAAGTAATCTTTTTTTAAATGTATTTTATTTTTAGTGTTGTTAATTAGTAGTTAGTGTTAGTTTACTGTTAGTTAGTAGTTAGTGAGTTTTACTGCATATCCTTACATTTGATATAGCACCTTATCACATCTTCTAGATATCTGAAAACGCTTCATAGAGTATACTGTAAAGTGAATTTACTATATTTTGTGGGTGGAACGCGGCGGCCAATTGGGCACAGCGGTGTCCCACAAACGGTTGTGGATTGAGTGACCAAGTTGTTTTGAAGGAATTATTACTCCTGGAAAAGCGATCTGCCAATCGACTAACAACCGGGTTCCTACTTACTGCTAGATAGACAGAGGTTGTGGAGTAAGGAAACTTGCCTAACATTTCGCCCTCAATCAAACCCAGGTTCTCCGCTTGCGAGGAGTCCTGTAGCTCAGTGGTTAGAGCACTCGCTTTGCAAGCGAGAGACCTGAGTTCAATTCCAGGCAGAGGGCGAAACCTTGGGCAAGTTTCCTTACTCCACATGCCTAATAATAATCCCTCCAAAACCCAAAACAATAATAAAAAAATGGTCATTTTCAATCTACGACTGTCTGTGGGACATTGCTGTGCGCAATTGGCTGCCGCGTTCGCCCACAAATATACAGTCAATTCACTTTACAGTGTGTTCTGTGAAGCGCTTTGGGACGTCCTCCCGACGTGAAAAGCGCTATATCAAATGCAAGGATTATTATTATTATTATTATAGTGTTAGCTGTTAATTTACTCTTTCAGAATGTTTTGATTCTGACATCGCTCTGACTTCACTTTTTAATTTTCCCACTGGTCGCTTGTTTTTTTATCTCTCTCGTGCTTCTGCTCCTGACTACTCATAATGAAATCTTGCCTCATGAATGAAGTTAGTTGTTGCAATATACAGTAAATACTATTTTGGGCTGTGATGCCTCTGTGCTGAACTGAGATCTCTTTAGTATTCAAGTGTCTTTATTCCCACCACTGTGGAATGAGGATGATCTTAAACAGTTATCTTTATCTTTATTTATCTTTTCATGATATAATGCATATTATTAATTGTATAAAGTAAAACTTAATAAGAGGATGCTTCCAGATCTTTTTTTAAGAGAATGACAGATTCGTGTTCTGAGAATTTTGTTGTCATGGGGGACATTTGTAAAACACCTTGTGTCTGTTGTTTTCTACTAGATCAGTCACAATCACTACCAACACTGCAAGTTTGATTAACTTGCATGCAATTTCTAAGGCAAAATATACACATTTCACAACTTTTCCTTCGAAAACAATGAACTCGTAAAACAATTGCAACACAAAATTCAATAAAGTTATCGAACCTTTTATAACCTACTTAGTTTTAAGATTTGTGTCTGAATGTGTGACTGTAGTATTTGTCTACTCAATGAACCAAGAGCAATGGGGACCATGTACCATGTACAGTGCTTTTTTAAAGTTAAAAAGCAGCTATAGCAATTCAGGTAGTGATTGCATTCTTTAGTCTGCGTGATACCTCTGTTTCGATGCTGGCAATCAGGTGCAGTTTCTCACTTTTTCCTGCACTTCCATCAAACGCAAGAGTTGGATTTTCAAGTAGATGTCTTTCTGACTGTTATGCCACTCACTTCTAAGAGAAGGAGATGGGAGTTTCTCCCTGCATCTTGGCTAAAAATACTTTTGATGTATTGATTATTTCACTCCTTGGTTTTTGTTTCGGACCTTGCTAAGTACAGATTGGCTGCCACATTTGCATAAAAAAGGAACAGTCACCATATTTAACACTAAATAATTTAGAAAGACAATAAGATGTATTTTGTATTTATATTTGTCATTTACAATAAATCTATTTACATCATATGATTCAATTTGGAGTTGCTTATAAATAGGATCTACATTGCATCCGCTTGGCTGCATTGTCCTCCCCACCCCATGTCCCCTTCTACCCCACCCAGACCATCCACACTGCCTTCTTTCTCCACCACGGCTCCTGCCACTCCTCCCTCCTTACCCCCATTTCTCCTACTTCTCATCTACAATCACCCCGATGAAGTTCACCACATGCTGCTTCGAACCCCCTCCCCACCCAGCTACTGGTCACTCAACTGCCCCTCCTCTCCCCCGCGCTAGCCGACACAGTCAACCAGTCTCTCTCCTCAGGCTCTGTTCTATTCCCCCTGAAAACTGCTGTTATCACACCCCTCCTGAAACACCCACCCTCGATCCCTCTAATCTCTCACACTACCGCCCCATTTGCTCCAATGCTCCATTTACCGCTCCAACCTACCCTTGCTAAAGTCCTGGAACGCATTCCCCCTCCACTTTCTCCTCGAGCCCCTGCAGTCTGGTTTTCGCCTTGCCCACAGCACAGAGACAGCATTTGTCAAAGTGACAAATGACATTCTCTCTATCTGTGACCAGGGCTCCCTCTGCCACCTCATCCTCCTGGATCTCTCTGTTCAACACAGTTGACCACGCCATCCTTCTCCACTGCCTCTCCTCCCTCATCCATCTTATTGGGACCACACTCGCATGGTTCGAGTCCTACTTATGCAACCATCTCCATTTCATCTCAGCAAATGGTTTCTCCTCTCCCCCGCCTGGTCACTCAAGGCACCATCCTTGGCCCTCTTCTTTTCCATATCTATATGTTCCCTCTGGCGATGTCATCCGCAGACACAGTGTAAACTTCCACAGGTATGAGGATGGTACACAAATCTACTTTGCCTCCTCCACTACCAACTCCAGGATCACTGATGTTCTATCAGCTTATTTGGCAGACATCAGGGCCTGGATGAATGTAAACTTCCTGCAGCTGAATATGGCCAAGATGGAAGCCATACTCCTTGGCTCCCATCAACATCTTCACTCCTGTGGATCTAAACTCCTCAACTTCCCTGGGCTCTCCCTCAGACTCACCGAACCAGTGAGCAATATAGGCATCCGGTTCGACCCCCAGCTGTCCTTCCTCCCCCACATCCGGTCCCCGATCAGCACCCTCTTCCATCTCTGCCACATTATCCACCTCCGACTGTACCTTACCCCAAATGCAACCAAAACCCTCGTGCATGTGTTTGTCACCTCCCGCCTGGATTACTCAAATGCACTCCTCAACGGTCTCCCCAGCTCCACTATTCAAAAGATTCAGCTCATTCAGAACTCTACCGCCCACATACTGACCCGGCGCAAACTCTGTACCCACATCTCACCAGTTCTGGCCAGGAATCAACTGGCTCCCCGTCACTGAATGGATTGACTTCAAGATGCTCACACTCGTGGTCAAATCCCTTCACTCCCTGGCACTGCTCTACCTCTCCGACCTCCTCACTCCCCAATCCATCACCCAGCACCTCCACTCGACTGGCACAGGCCTCCTGCTTGTCCTTCGCACCCTCTGCCCCACCATTGAAGGGCATGCTTTCAGCCTGAAGCTCTGGAACACTCTCCTTCAATCCCTCTACCTTGCCCACTCTCTCCCCTTTTTCAAGTCCCACAGGAAAATCTTCCTTTTTGACTGTGCTTACAGCCAGCTACACGCCCTGGCTCGGAGTCAGGCTCCGCCAATGTTAAGCGCTCTGAGATGCTCCCTGCGTGGAGGGCGCTATATAAGTGCAAGTTGTTGTTGTTGTTGCTTATGTTGATTGTGAGTCTTTACATTTGAATAAAATGCCTTTTAGTTGCTTTTTTTGTTCTGATGAACCAAAGGGCAATTCTTACCTCCGTGAGCAAAACAGACTTTCAATTTGGGAAATTTTTCAAAGATTCCACCAAACATCATGCTGCACATCGCTGTAGTTGTTTCAGCAGGCATCCCTAAAGCAGAAAAATAAACATGCTAAATGTACTACACATTGTGTAATTTTTCTGGCATTTCAAGATTGAGCACGTTTTTTCTTAGAGCTGTGTTGGAATATTAAAAATCCCTTTTTCCCCTTTGCACAATTTTCAATGCTATTAATTCTCCTTCAGTACCATTAACACTTAGAAACTGCACACATTGCTGGTCTTGTGCCTTGTTTTCACTGCTAGAACAATATTCAAATTCCCTATTTATCATGGAAGACAATAAAGGCCTTAGTTACATGTGTTATCTATTTTCCCTATCTGTGTTTTTGAGATGTCTCAAAGACGTGATAAGGCGCTAAATCAAATGCAAGGATTATTATTAATAATAGAAGTAGTATCCATGACATTTTTAAAAAATTGTCTTTTTAATACCTTAATTGGAATTTGGGAAGAGCAAGAGATAAATTTTCAGAAGAGAAATTATACATTTCTATCACTACCCATAAAGATAAGAAGTGTTGCAATGAAAAGAACATTTTGGGTAAAAGAAGAAGTTTTTTTCATGTCCATGACAGTAGAGAAGAGGTAAAACAGCCTTGTAAATTATAAGCACCGAGAGGGGTAAATTGCTGACTGAGAGGCCAGAGGTGGATGTGGCAACATCCGTCGTGGTATCTTTACCTGCAGCTCAGAAAACCATGGGATAGTTTCTACTTTTGTTTACCAGTTAGGCTGTAGCATTAATATGGGCCTTAGTTCCACCTTCTGATCAGCAGAGTGAGGATAATTTACAGTGTAGCCAGATATATATATTTTACTGATAACAGTGCCTGGATGTCAATGGATGAGAAACCAGCTTCTAAAATAACTGGGCATTATTGTAAGACCAATAGAAAGCTGTGTTGGTTTATTTAAGTAGTAATTCACCTTAAATATTCCAGGAAGAATACTTTAGCTTTGGGTTTGTTTTGTTTAATGCAGTCTTGTGCAAAGTGATCTGATCATTTTGTGGCTGGGGCTCTAATGTTACCATCAGGAAGGTCAATACTCCAAATCAATACCAACCTACAAGCCATGGAAGCCAATATTTGGACATTCTCCCATCAGTCTTCATATCCCAGGGGTGGATAAATATGGCACATTTTAACTCTTCTGCAGCCTTAAAAGGAAAGTATTGAATATTGCTGAGTCAATTGCTTACTAGCAAAAACAACAAACAAAGACAGTTAGGTTATTTTACTAGTTTCAGAAGTAGGCTAAATTTTTGCTTGGCACTCTGATGCTGTTTGCACCAACAATAAATGCATTTTGTGTACTGCTCTGATGTAAACAATATTAGGAAGGTAGCTCAGCCCTACTTCCCCAATAGATGAAATGTAAACCATTTTGCATTTTACATGTAGAAAGCCAGGTCGGAAGAGTCAGACCATCTCTATTTCTGCTGTTTGTCTTGTGTTTTCTCCAAATCAGTTTATAATAAGGGTGTTTTTTTTCTTCAATTCTGGCTAAGATCTAATGAGGTGGAAATGAAGGTGTCTTACCAATTGTGGCTTGGAATTGTACCTCCCGCTCCATCCCCAAATAAAAAAATATATAATGAGTAACTCTGCAGAAAATATATTTTAGAACATTTCTGTGCTTACCGCATATACAGGGTAAAGTTCTGGGGCATTCAGGTCCCAGTCATTAATATGGGAACCAATCTGGATTCCTGGAAAGCCTAATTCTTTCACACAACGATACATTTCCTCAACAGCCAGTTGTGGGGCTTGCATGGGTAATGTACCAAGGCCAACAAACCTCTTTGGGTTTTTATGAACTGTGACTGCTAGGTCATCATTCAACATGTGGCACAAGTCCAGAGTGTCCTTAGGTTTAGCCTGTCAAAAGCAAACAAAAGTACAGTGTGGATCAGTAGACCATTCAGGCCGTCATACCTTTTCCACTATTTTATCAGATCATGGTTTATATTATTATTATTATTATCTGCAACTCAATACCATTTCCCTATTGTTTCACCAGATCTCTTGAAATCCTCGCCTTCCAAATATTCATTCACACACAAAAAACATACTTTACAGTATATGCTGTGAAGCATTTTGAGATGACTCGACAACATAATAAGGCACTGCATTACAATACAATACAAAATTATATTTCTAAAGCGCATTTCACATCAGAAGGATGTCCCAGGGCGCTGAACAGTCAGTGATTAGGACCCGAGCGGTGGGGGCGGGTTGGGATCAGGTTGGGGAGCAGAGTGTGCCCGAAGGCATAGTCAAAGAGGAGAGTCTTGAGGTGTGCCTTGAAGGAGGTAAAGGAGGGAGTGAGGTGAAGGGATTGTGGGATGGACTTCCAGAGGTTGGGGGAGAGAGGCTGAAGACCCAACTGCCGATGGTGGGGCGGGCCAGCCAGCGGACATGGAGCATTGTGAGCTGAGGGAGTGGACAGGTTGATAAGGGGTTAGCAGGTGGGAGAGGTAGGTGGGGGCAAGACCATGGAGGGCCTTGAAGGTGAGGATGAGAATTTTGAACACAGTCTTCTGAGAGATGGGGAGCCAGTGGAGCCAGGCGAGGGAGGGTGTGATGGGGTCACGGAACCTGGTGTGGGTGAGAACATGAGCTGCAGAGTTTTGGATGATCTACAGCTTGTGGAGGGAAGAGTTGGGAAAGCCGACAAGCAGGGCGTTTGCATAGTCGAGCCTGGTTGTAATGAAGGCATGTATCAGAATTTGGGCCGCCTAAGGGCTGAGGCATTGGCGGAGTCGGGATGTAGTGGAGAAGGACAGTTAAGGGTCGAACAAGATGCCTAGGTTTCTGACTGGCTTTGTGAGGTAGAGTGTGCATCCTTGTATGCTGATGCTGCCAGTGGCTGAGGTGCGGAGGTGCTGGCTTGAGCTAATCAGGAGAGCCTCGGTCTTGCTGATGTTCAACAAAAGGAAGTGGAAGGAGTCAAGCTGGGAAGCAACAACTCTTTGAAAAACATTGGAAAGGAAAGGCATGTTGGAGATGGGGTGGTAGATAGTGAGGAGGGATGGGTCCAAGAAAGGTTTTTTTAGGATGAGGTGATGATAGCTGTTTTTAGGGGGGTGGGAACGATGCCAGTTGACAGGGAGAGGTTGATGACCTCTGAGAGTAAAGGGGCGAGAAGGTGGAGCTGGCAGATAAAGAAAGGGGTAAGGATGGGGTCGAGGGAGCAGGTGGTGGGCTTCATGCAGATTATAATTGATAAGAGAGGAGGGGAGACAGGTTCGAAGGTGTGGAGGGAGGGATGTGTAGAGGCCGAAGTGTGGTGGGTGGGGGATCATGGGGAGGGGGTGATGGTTGGGAGGGTAGAGGCAGCTGAATGGATCTCCTCGATTTTGATCTCAAGGAAATCCAGCACCTCCTTGCAGTTGGAGTTGGAGGAGAGGATGGGTGAGGTGTGAGAAGGTGGATGGAGAAGCCAGTTGGTAGTGAAGAAGAGAAGCCTAGAGTTGTCTTTGGCCTCCAAGATTACCTTGGAAGAGAAGGATGATTCTGTGGAGATGAGGGCGGACTCGTAAGTTTTTTTTGTGGTCCAGCCAGATCTCCCGGTGGACCGTTAAATCAGATTTGAGTCAGGTGCATTCAGTGGCACGCACCTGACCCTTGAGTGAGTGGAGATGGCTGGTGTACCAGGATGAGAATAGGATGTGGTTCAGGAGGTAAGGGGGGCAAGGGCATCAAGAATGGAGGAGAGGGAGTTGTGGAGGAGAGTGACTGAGAAGGATAAGTCAGTGCAGCAGGTAGGCCAGAGGGGGAGAAGTTCAGACGACTCCAAGGCAATGGAGAGGGAGTGCAGGGAGATTCTTTTCTAGGGCAGTCAGAGATAGAGGTGGGTTGGGTGGCGATGGGGAGAGACTTGAAACCACAACCTTCTGTTCAGGGGCAAGAATGCTCTCAACTGAACTACTGTAGGCTGATATTTTATAACAGGAAATATGAGATTTAGGAATAGAGGTTGCATGCTGGAGATTAGAGTGTATTCAATGAAACCAAGGTGAAAGCTAACCATTGGTTGTCATATTATGTCCTTGTGATTGTCACATACATTTTATTTAATTGCACTCCAGCAGTTGCCCATCTGTGTCTAACATAGTATCTGAAGATTGATATTTTTATGGTCTATCCTTAAAACAATTATTTGTCTTATAATTTAAGATCATACAGCACTTTGGAAAATTATTAAATTCAGTATTTTTAAAAAATATCTGCAGAAAAGTGCAAATTAAGATGAATTTAATAATTTTCGAAAAACTGCACAATTCAAATTGAAGATAATGATCTTGCAGCTAACATCATAAAAATTTGGGTTTTCTGGCTCTCTGCCTCCCCAAAAGAAACAGATTTGTTAAAAAAAACATTTTCATGAAGATCATTTCAGCAATTGTTACACAATAGCTTTATCTATAAAAACGTTTTTACATTTATTATACAAATCTTTGATTTGGAAAGGTTTGATTGTACAGCACACCTACTTTTTTCATGGGTCACCTCCAGCAAGAAGAGATAAATTCTAATTAGTACTTTGGCATTGAACTTTTACAGTGCATTATTATTTGTTCTGGGGAGTAAGACCACATTCATTGTATTTGGTTATCCATCCATGCACTTCCTGATAGTTATTGCTGATCAAAGTGTTCTTTCATACTTCTGTATTTGTTGAAATAACACTTTGCTAATCACCAACTCTTCCCTATCGTTACCTCTTCATCTTTCTTATTCATATGACCACTGTGCATAAGTAAGTGAAATATATAGTACACTGACCTGTTCTATGGTAGTTCATAGCAACAAAGGCATTGGCCTCAGTGCCTTGGGTTTAGGATGTTTCAGTCACTGCCAGGGCCAATAGAAAATTGTGGAAATATTTGCCAAACATTGCTGGGAAATTTGACAAATTTTGTGGAACATTGTGGGAGTTGATTGGTGCTATTTTACTACCAACCTACAATTTTTAAATTTATTGATAAAAACTAAACATGAAAAAAAACACATTGTTGCAAAAATATATTAATACTTTCTTTAACAAAAACTGGGTAGCCCACTTAGGGTACGAAGACAACACCAACGTAGCACAAAGGGGCTTGAGATCCACCAAAAAACAGCATTGCTCGCCAGTGTTGTGACTCTGGGGCTACAGGAGGTAACCACCTCTCAGGGCCTGTCCCCGCACTCTGAGACCCAGAGAGAGACACAGAATCACAGACAGAGAGTGAGAGAGACATACACACACAGACAGAGAGATACACACACTGAAAGACATAGAGAGAGATATGTACTCACAGACAGAGACGCACACACATACTCACAGACACACATTCATAGACACAGAGACACCACACAACAACAACAACTTGCACTTGTATAGCGCCCTTCACACTGGGTAGCATCTCAAAGAGCTTAACAGTGGCGGACCCTGTCTCCAAACTGAGGTGGGTGGGAGAGGTGGCTGTAAGAACGGTTGAAGAGGATGGTTCTCAGGTGGGACTTGGAAAAGGGGAGAGGGTGCAAGGTGGAGGGATTGAGGGAGAATGTTCAGAGTTTTGGGGCATGGTGGCTGAAAGCGCGACCGCCAATGGTGGGGTAGAGGGTGCGAGGGACGAGCAGGAGGCCGGTGGCAGTCAAATGGAGCCACCGGGTGGTGGATTGGGGAGTGAAGAGGTCAGAGAGGTAGGGAGGTGCCAAAGAGTGAAGGGATTTGAACATGAGTGTGAGGATCTTGAAGTCGATCCGTTTGGGAAACCAGTGGAGCCTGGCCAGAACTGGTGAGATGTGGGTACAGAGTTTGGTCCGGGTCAGTATGTGGTCGGCAGAGTTCTGATGAGCTGCACCTTTTGAATAGTGGAGCTGGGGAGACCAGCGAGGAGTGTGTTTGAGTAATCCAAATGGGAGGTGACAAATGCATGCACGAGGGTTTCGGCTGCATTTGGGGTAAGGTATGGTCGGAGGTGGGCAATGTGGCGGCGGTGGAGGAAGGCGGTCCTGGTCAGGGACCGGATGTGGGGGAGGAAGGACAACTGGGGATCGAACCTAGATTGCGCACGGGTTCGGTGACTCTGAGGGAGAGCCCAGGGAAGTTGAGGACACACATACAGACAGAGATAGACACACAGACAAACCCACACAGAAACACTCACACACACACACACACATATAGAGGAAGGAGACACACACAGACAACTCAACAGTGGGGTGTTAGAGTGGAGTGAAATCTATTCACCATTTGCGCCACACCACCCACTGTGGTGGCGTTGAGTAAACAGCAGCGTGATGAGGCCCGGGGCTGAGAATCCTTCATTGTTTACCGTTTGTTAGCCGAGGGTTTTCTTTTTAGCGGATTACAAGGAGAAATTGCGGCCCCATTTTTCTATTGGCCTAGGTCATTGCCCCAGGCTATGGAAGGGAAAACCAGACCCCGCTTTGGGATGCATATAGTCCAGGCTGATAATCCAATACAGTGTTGGAGAGACCGAGGTACTGTTGGAGGTTTCATCCTTCAGATGACATGTTACCTGAGGTCCTGCCTCCAGGTGGAGATCCCATGGCACAATTCATAAAGAGAAGGGAGTTTCTCCCAGTGTCCTGGCCAACAATTCCCCAAATAAAATTGGTCATTCAATTTGTGGCTTTTTGTAGGACATTGTGTGTCGATTGGCCTGTAGCATTGGCATATAAAATACAGTCACTGCACTTTACAGTAAATCGTGTAAAGTACTTAGAGATGTCTTCCCGGCAGGAACGGCACTATATGAAACGTACGCATTATTGTCATTATTTGTTATTATTCTGCCCTTATTGTTGGGGTTCTTATTAACACTTATTGTTGGGGATCACACCTGAAAATAGTACTTAGGTTGCGTTATTAAAGGTATGTAATGCCAGTGGAACCATATTTCTGCATGAACCAGCATCTTTAGGAAACCAGGGGAGAGAATTGGTGGGAGAGAAATGAACTGCAAGGTATTCCAATGCCAGTAGACCAATAGTCAGTATGTATACAAAACAGATTTGTTAAAACATTTTCATGAAGATGGTGGGCACTTTTTAGCAAGTGTTATATAGGTAAATAACTCATTGTGTTTTTTTAAGTCCTGTACATTTCTCACCATCCCCGCTGGTATCATAACTGATAACATGGAGAGAGAGAGAGAGAGAGAGAGAGGGAAACATTGCAGGTGAATTCTGCCAAACAGGATGTAAGTTGAACTTGTTAAGGTCCTATTTTGTTCAGAGGAGCAGAAGGTGGTTGCCCACACAATGAATTCACATTTTGCTTCATGTTCATTAACTTACCCAATAGTTGAACATGACAGGAACAGTAGAAAGAACCTGCACTGTCACACCTGTAAAATAACAATGTTTACTTATCAAAATGTTTACATCTATTCTGTGAGGCACTGCATATAGTTCATTCATTTACACATCTATTCCATGATCACTGGTCTTTGATGGCACTATTCCAGTTTAACGATTACTGAGGTCAAACATTTCTCACGATTTTACCTTTGAGGTTTAATTTGTCTTAAAATTTAAGGTTGTACAGCAGCTGGAATTGTACAGCATTTTGGATAATTCTTGAATTCGGTCTGAATTTTCAAGCTGAATTTCTACAGTTACTTTTCAGACCTGCAGAAAACAGGCTTCCAAATCAAGACATTTCCAAAATTCTTCAATGATCTTCAATTTAAGATAAAGTATTTCAAAGACATTAGACATACAACACATCTCCCATTTACCTGCTTGATCCATTTCTTGAATCCGTACTTGTGGATCCCAGCAGTTTTCTTGCACTGTTCTGAAAAACTTGTCATCTTTCATCATTTTTGCTTCTCCCTTTTGTATAATAAATACATTTCAATTTCTTATGCATAAAGCAGTGGTGAAGTTTAGATCTTTGCCACCTAATCTTTGTAAACATCACTACTGTAAGTACTATAATAATAATCTTTGCATTTAATATAGCACCTTATCATGTCTTCGAGACGTCTCAAAGTGCTTCACCGAATGAACTGTAAAGTGAATTGACTGTATATATTGCGGGCAAAATGCAGCAGCCAATTGTGCACAGAGGTGTCTTGCAAACAGTGGTGGATTGAATGACCAAATTATTGTTATTATTGTGTTTTTTTAAGGGATTATTACCCCCAGAAAGTGATCAGCCAATCGACTAAATCGGGTTTCTACTGGTAGGTAAACATAGGCATGTGGAGTAAGGAAACTTGCCTAACGTTTTGCCTTGCCTGGGAATCGAACCATGGTCCTCTTGCTTGCGAGGCAAGTGCTCTAATCACTAAGCTACAGGATTCCATATTATGCATAATGGAAAGGAAAATGACTGAATGGTTTGGGGGAATTACTTGCAAGCAAAGCTTAAGATTGCTTGGCTCTCATTAGATATTTACACCTGCACCAATTGATGCATGCATTCAAAAAGAAGAAATGTATTACTACACCTGCACGATTACTTATTAAAGAAAAACAAATCTTTTAGTTTGATCTGGGGAATGCATTTTCTTTCATGTACATATGGGCAAAGTACACCAGATGGCCTATACAGTCTGGAGAAGTGAGATTTGAGAGGTGAGATTGTTGTACCCTTCTTGCTGCCAGGGACCACATGCCAGGAACCCAGTTAACACAATCACAGAGAAAAGGAATCAAACTGATACGCATTAAATGCTGAACAACACTTTGAAAATGAAATATAGCCACAAATTAAAAAAAAAGATTTTGCAATAATAAACTACACATGAGGTGGTAAGCTTCAGTTCTCTAGTTCTCTATTGTGAACAATATAATTCACAAATAGCATGAATTACCCTTTGCGTTTTTAAACAACATGTGCATACCTTGCATTTGTGGTGAAGCTGTACCCATCCTCCATAGCCATATCTCTGTCAAAAGGAAAATGTTAATATTCTTAATTAATATGCATGACCCACATTTAAGCTGCAGAATTGCAAAAACATGGTACAGAACATTTCAGACGGTGAAGGATTTCATTGATCACTTTATTAAACAGAATTCTGATCTATTTAAAATATTGCTGTGTTTCTGCCTCTTCTTTGCATAAATATTCAACGGGTTTTCAAAAAGTATGTTAACACAGATCTAATTCATATAACTGAGCAGTGAAGCACTGAACTCCTTACCTACGTGACACTATCTTCTCTACTCTTCAGTATTCTGTCAATCATTAACCTTGAAGTGGAATTGATTTTGTACAGACTTGCTGATTCAGCTGAGATCTGATGGTTATTTTTCCTCATTTCATATGTATAAATATAGTATTTAAAAAGCCGGGAGACAAAAACTGAGTGCAATGATAACAAATTAGCTTCCATTGCTTGTTCTAAGTTTTTTATGCCCTGGATTCGTTCAAATAAAACTTTATATTACCCTACAACGTATTAACGGTTACAATTTTCACTGGAATCATTAACATGGAATGTAAACTACTGAAAGTGAAATGAAATATTTTGCTCAGGGGTCAGTCACCACCACTAAGCTTCTGAGCTGTTGGCACACAAGTGAAATGAAAATCATCCATTAACTTGGGACCATCATGGTTTAACCTAAGGCACAGCTAAAAGTCTCTTCATTTCAGTAAGATCTGGAAATGTAAATCGTCAAGGGTTCCATGTTGGACCTTTGTATAAATGAAGCGATGTTTGATTACATTTTTTTAGGTGAAAGCTTTATTACTGCAAAAGCGACAGAGCCTTATACTGGGAGCAGAATAGGGGGTAACCCATGTGAAACTATCCAAAGAGCACCAAAAACTGAGAATCCAAGCTGTGAAAAGGGAATTACAAGATAAGTCAATATCCAGGAAACTGGGACAGCATTTTGGGTTGTCAGCATGGCTCCAGGCAGATACAACTATTGCACATGTTTCTATTTGAAGGGCCCTGGGTATCTCAGCACAGTTTATAGTTTGATTAAGATCTGCTGTCAAGGCAATAGTTTTTAATTTCAGTTTACATTTTTTTCAACTTTTATGATTGGACCCAGCAGTGCCGAATTGGTGGAATATTTAAGAACGATCCAAAACGATCCAATTGTGGAGTCCTGTAGCTCAGTGGTTAGAGCACTCGCTTTGCAAGTGAGAGACCTGAGTTCAATTCCAGGCAGGGCGAAACCTTGGGCAAGTTTCCTTACTCCACACGCCTAATAATAATCCCTCCAAAAAAACAAAACAATAATAAATTGGTCATTTTCAATCTACGACTGTTTGTGGGACATTGCTGTGCGCAATTGGCTGCCGCGTTCGCCCACAAATATACAGTCAATTCACTTTACAGTGTGTTCTGTGAAGCGCTTTGGGACGTCCTCCTGACGTGAAAAGCGCTATATCAAATGCAAGGATTATTATTATTATTATTAAAAATTTGCAATGAACATGAACTATTTTATATTTTTCAGTATAGACAATCATGATTCATTTGTGATCACTCAGGCTCTCGAATCCAACAGTCTCACTTTTATATCTTGTTTAAGAAATATTGTATGTACAATACGGACCTGAAGTTGACTAGTAGTCAAAAAAAACATCAATAAAAGTGTTACCTCCTTCAGATTGGGCCATTCCTTGGGCAAGATGTGGCTGTGTATGTCAATCTTCATTATTTTAACTTGTCCAGGTACAACCTGAAAAAGTATATGTGTTTCCGGGATCTAATTAAACTGTCAACGTTTAAAATGCTGATCTCTCTGTTCAGATAAATTATTCACTCATTTTAATCTCTCCCTCCCCTTAGAGGTTTAGCAATACAGTACCCAATCAAACTGAATTACCCTCCAGTAAACTGGAAACTTAAGTCCAAAGTACAGTATAGCACCATAGATTTAAAAAAAATATTATTTCAGATAGCATTGCATCTGTCTTAGATTCTGTGTTTTAGAAAATAAAAAAGTATGATAAAACCTGCTGGTAAAAGAAAGAGAGTATTTATTAATATATGCGTTGAATCACACAAATATACGTTTGAGCAGAAAAACACAAATCGTAGCACAAAGAGCATCGAGGAGCAAGGAAAATATGGACTGGAGTAGAAAAACATTGTTGTGAAGGAGGGCAAAACAGACTGATGTGATGAGTGGCTAATACTCAGTGTAACTCAGTATGACCAAAGCGAGTTATGGGAGAACTGTACACTTCTTTCTAAGAATAGCGCTTTATTTTAAATATTTGTGGCCTTGATTATAGAATCCTCCCCCCACCACATCCCATTCTGCCCGATGCCATCATTCTATGCATTACAAAATGAGATAGTTATGTTTGATCTGAACAGAAGAGTATGGGAATCCCAAATCCCTCCACCCCCACACTCTGGAACTCCATCCCACAGTCCCTCCGCCTCGTCCCCTCCCTTGCCACCTTCGAGACCCATCTCAAGATCCTACTCTTCGACTGTGCCTCTGATCTCCCTGCTTCCCCCTGCCCTCCACCCTCCCCAACCCTGATCCCCAGCTCGGGTCCGAAATTCTGTCTATCCAGCGCCTTGGGACGTCCTCCCGATGTGAAAGGCGCTTTACAAATGTAGTTTTGGTGGTGATGTTGTGTTTTCCAATTTTTCTTTCTTTTTCAAACTCAGATATACTTTGCCATAGGCCACTATAAACTTCTTTATAAACACGACTGAATAATAACGTAATATATTTCATTATCTGCGATAGTGACAAGTTTAGTTCCGAAAAATGGATACAACTTCCAATAAGAATAACGGGGATGAAATATTGTGTCTGAAGCTCAGGGGATAAAGTGCCTCAGGAAAGGAATAAGTTTGAGATTAATCCAGATGATGTGAAGTTTCAGCTAAAGGTGAATTGTAATACACTTCATCCTATCAAAGACATTTTGACTGTTTTTTTTGGTTAGCTTTATGTCTGCCACCTGTGGAAATCCATCACCATGCTTAAGAGTATCCAAACCAAGCTGAGATCTCCACGCATCCCACCTACACATGGAAATCCCAGAGATAGATTGTTGGAATGGAATGCGCACTCTCTCCCTGGAGGGACGGTTCTGGAAAGTATTAGGAGCAGTTTGGCAAGAGCAAAGGCTTGGGGACCCCAGAGTGTGCGTTGGGGTAACTGCTGGAGTCTAACCAGTTAAAACCGCATAGCTTGCCATTGATATTGCTGTCTGGCAAGCTTTCCCCCTGCTTGTCCAGCTAGGACTACCCTACCCATTAGGGTTTTGGCTTTCAGGGTTTACAGGAGCTGAGTGGGATGACTCCCTGCTCCCAGTGTCTGGTCTGCCCTTCCAAATCCTGCTGATTAGCCATTTGGGATTCTATGCTGTCATCAGAAGTGCCGTGGAATAGTGTAGACCTGCCTGGCTCAGGAACCAGGCTAACAAGACTACCACTACCACAGAGGGCTGGCTTGATTCTGACATTCCATTGCCAGGCATGTCACCTTGGAGCCAGTTCAGCTCCAATGAGACCCCACATATTCACGCTACTAGGAGATGGTGACTGCTGAGAACTGCTTTTCATAAAGCTAGCGAGATTAGTGCATTTATGATACTGAAAATGTTCTTATATAGGTGTTAAGGCTAATTGTTAGTTAATGTAACATAAGAACATAACAAATGCTAGATGAAAAAAGACCAAGGTCCATCTAGTTTGCCTTCCACCTACCTGGCGGTCGCATGTCCCAAACTACCTATATACTATATCCCATAATATTATTTCCTAAAACATCTAATCTGTGTTTGAAAAAATCAATACTTCTTGCTTCAACCGTCTCCATAGGGAGTCTGTTCCACAGGTTCACTATTTGCTCACTGAAATAGTGAGAGAAATAACAAGAGAATGAGAGGCTATAGTAAGGTGTAGACGATATAAAGATGATGAGTCTGCATGCTTTGCTCATCTAGTTTGGGGGTGGGGTGCAGTTATTGCAGGGTAGGATGGTCCCAGCTGAACAAGCAGCGGAAAGCTTGCAGAAAAAAAAGTCTGCTCCTCTAGATTGGTCTTTGCTAATACCTGTATGAATTGTCCTTTAAAGTTGTGGAGTCCTGTAGCTCAGTCATTAGCGACTCACCTCGCAAGCGAGAGACCTGGGTTCGATTCCTGGGCAGGGCGAAACATTGGACAAGTTTACAGCCAACATGGATTTGTTAAAGGCAAATCTTGCCTAACAGATCTAATAGAATTTTTTGAAGAGGTGACTGCGAGGGTTGATGAAGGAAATGCGGTGGTAGTTATTTACATGGATTTCAAAAAGGCTTTTGACACAGTACCGCATAAGAGATTAATAAAAAAATTAGAGGCCCACAGTATGAAGGGAACAGTGGCAGTTTGGATTAAGAACTGGCTGAGTGACAGAAAGCAGAGGTTAATGGGTGTTTCTCGAAATGGAAGGGGTGTTCAGCGGTGTCCCCCAGGGATCGGTATTGGGACCACTGCTCTTTCTAATATATATTAATGATCTGGACTTGGGCATAGGGAGCACTATTTCCAAGTTTGCAGATGATACAAAGTTAGGTAGGGTAGTAAATAGTGAGGAGGACTGTAACCAACTGCAAGCAGACGTACACAGAATGGTGGAATGGGCTGACATGTGGCAGATGGATTTCAATGTGGATAAGTGCGAGGTGATACACTTAGGTAGGAAAAATGATAGGAGGCAATATAGACTTGGTAGCTCAATCTTAAGGGGGGCGAATGTACAGAGAGATCTGGGCGTTCAAGTAAGCGATTCATTGAAGATAGAGGTGGGCAGGTAGATAAGGCAGTAAAAAAGGCATTTGGTGTACTGAGCTTTATTAGTAGGGGCATAGAGTATAAGAGTAGGGAGGTTATGGTTAATCTATACAAAACACTGGTTAGGCCTCAGCTGGAATACTGCGTCCAGTTCTGGGCACCTTACTTCAGGAAGGACATTAAGGCACTGGAAAGGGTGCAGAGGAGATTCACGAGAATGATACCAGGAATGGGGAACCTTAGCTATGAGGATAGGCTGGAGAAGTTAGGACTTTTCCCATTAGAGCAGAGAAGGTTACGCGGGGACCTGATAGAGGTCTTCAGGATCATGAAAGATTTCGACCGGCTAGATAAGGAAAAGCTGTTTCCGCTGGAAGGTGTGTCTGTGATCCGTGGTCACAGTCTTAAGATATCTACCAAAAGAAGTAGAGGGGAGGTTAGAAGAATTTTTTTCACTCAGCGAGTTGTTCGAATTTGAATCAAATCAAAGCCTCCTTACTTGAAAGAATGGGAGGTATATGGGACTTGGCCCACTCAATTCCTCCTGAGGTTTCCTGTTCAGACTGAGTTTAATAGGTATCTTGGGAGAGGGCCACGTCTGCCTGAGGAACGTAAGTATTGATAGCAGTAAATACAAATGAAATGTTTATTACATTTGCTACAAATGATTACTGAACTATCAGCTGTAAGTTACGCTGAACAATGAATATCGGTTGAATTAATGTAAATTCATGACCTCGTGGGCTGATAATAAGTTACTTGACATTTTCAGTTTGGGACATTTTCTTTTAACCAGTTGCAAGACATCATCGGATAAACTAGTGAGAAAATCATGCTTTAGAGTTACTGAGTCGGTTGGTTTTCATACGCTATTTGCTGTGGTTGTAGGAAATAGTAGCAGTATGTGAAATTAACATCACCAAAAGGCATCAATATGTCGAGAAGATTTGGAGACAATAATAAACATTGCAAGATGTGATGCACAAATTATCACATTGTTGAGAAATGTGGTCAATAATTATCAACTGGCTGCAGTTGTGTTAGTCATCCTCCTCCACTCATTGCCACAAGCTCCCTGAATTTGTCAGAAGGTCAGGCCTGAAGCTATCCCATCCCTACTTCTCTCCTTACCTCCCAGCTCCACCTCCTTGCCCCCCACTATTCACAGACATCATCAACCTCTCCCTGTCCATTGGCACCGTTCCCACCCCTCTAAACATGGCCGTCATCACTCCTATCCTTAAAAAAACCCTCCCCAGATCCATTCCTCTCCAAACTACCACCCCATCTCCAACCTCCCTTTCCTTTCCAAGGTCCTGGAATGAGTTGTTGCTTCCCAGGTTTGCTCCTTCCTCTCCTACCACTCCCTTCACAAATCCCTCCAATTGGGTTTCTGTGCCGCCCACAGCATAGAAACAGCCCTGGTCAAAGTGATAAATGACATTTTGTCCATCTGTGACCAAGGCTCCTTCTGCCTCCTCGTCCTCCTTGATCTCTCTGTTGCCTTCGACACCGTCGACCACCCTATCCTCCTGCACCGTCTCTCCTCCTCTCACCTCAACCTTCATGGTTATGTTCTTGAATGGTTCCGATCCTACCCCTGAGACCTCCTAATGCCCTACCAACCTGCCCGCTTCCTCCACTCTAGCCTGCTTTAGGTCCCCGTCTTGCCCTCCCCACCATTTGCGGGCAGGCATTTAGCCACTCTGCCCCCACCATCTGGAACTCCATCCCGCAGTCCCCCTTTCTCACACCATCCCTTGCCTCCTTCAAGATCCATCTCAAGACCCTTTTGTTTGACTGTGCCTTCGGTCTCCCTCTTTCCCTCCCTGCCCTCCACCCTTCCCAATCCCGAGCCCCACCTCGGGTCTGAAACACTGATTGTCCAGCACCTTGGGACGTCCTCCTGACATGAAA